TATATATGTACCCCATCAGAATCACGATTAACCTATTTTTCACAAACTAAACAACAATTGACTGTAGCCCATAAAAGGTTAGATAAATCTAACACATGATTGCTGGAAGCAAGAGAGAGAATAAGGGAGGATTGTTCTCTTGTTGCACTTTGTAAAGATCATAAGGGGATTGTCCTTATTGATTGTGTTGCTTATGTTAGAAGATTGTAGGATAGGTCTTGATGGAAGACTTGTACAAAGATCTAACATAGTGGAAATCTCTCACGAGGAGTGAGGGGACTGGAGTACTACTGGATTGTAAGGGAAACTAGAATATATCTTTGTGTCCTTTACTTTTCACATTTATTTTTCGGCATATTTATTTTCATATCATTTCTGAAAAAATTACAAAACCAGTGCTAACGCTTCAAATTGAGAAAAGTCTAATAAATCTAATTCACACCCTTCTTAGAGACCGTGCATAAACTCACATTACTATTGGGGCTGTTTTGGTTTTCATTCAATTTTTCCAAAACTAATTTGATCGATAACTACAAAAGTAGAATCGTGACACGTCGGGTAAGATCGAAAGTTGTCAGACACCTAAAGATTATAGATTAAGCCCGATTTTGAATACGTGAGAGAGACGATTCCTTTTTAATTAAATCTTTTTCAAGGAAGAAAATAATGCCCCGTAAGCAGTTCTATTTAGAAATAATAATAGTAATGTTGTTTGATGAGAGCCGCATTCCGACATTGCATCTTTGAATTTGTCAAAATTTTATTATTTCATTTTGTTCCTATTTTCAAAACCTTTTTACGATTGCCTTAGATAAACATATAGCAATTGAAGACGATTGATTGACCATTAGGTCTCTATGGGATTCGACAACCTTTTATATTACTCTGATACACTCCGTATACTTGCAGAAAGAACCATCAATTGACAGTTGATTAAATTAAATATGATTTAATTCAATTAATGTTTTATTTTATTTTATTAAATATATATAATATCTATTTAATTAAAATAGTTTTAATTAAATAAGATTGAGCTTATTTTGGAAAAGGCCAAAATAAAAGCATTGGGGTTTTAGTAGCTCTCTATAAATAGAGGAGCTATTTCCCTTGCCAATCTTAATTGTCAATTTTCTCATAAAAAGAGACGACTAGCATCACGTTCCACTTTGTACTCACGTGGAGTTCATAGATACAATGGTATTTTCCACGTTCGTGATCAAAGTTAAAACATGCTTCACGAGGTAATTCAGAATACTTATGTTGTGTTTCATTTGTGATTAATGGTTTAATAAAGATTCGTTCATCGAGATTGTTTTGCTAAGAGGTTAAATTTTTGGAAAACCCATCTTAAATCCCAACACTAAGTGCTCATTCAGCGTGCATGCGGGTCGTATCTAGGTTTTATGTTAACCAAGAGAGGTATAAAGGTGAACCTAGATAAGTGTCAGTCCATCATCAACATGAGAAACCCTTCTAGTGTTAAAGAAGTTCACAACTAACATGGAACTTAGTTTCCCCGACTCGTTCCCTTTATTGTGCAGGTGATAAGGCTTTTCATTTCTTTTCCACTTTGAAGAAAAAGGAAAAATATGAGTAGACGAGCAAGTGTGAGAAGGCGTTCACAAACTTAAAAGCCTCACTTGCATCGCCACCCATTCTGACATGCTTTATAGCATGTTCTCACATCTACCTCTATTGTTTGTCACTGATTATGTGACGAGTTATGTGCTCTTCCAAGAGACAAAAAACATCGAGAGACCTATCTAATTTGTGACCATGTATTTAAGGGCGTTGAGACACGATACCAAAATTTCAATAGGCTTGCTTTGGAATTCGTGATAGTTGCAAGAAAACTTAGTTCCTACTATTAAGGGCACCAGATAATGGTAAAAATTAACTACCCTCATTCAACTCCGAAAGAGAATCCATTCGCATTTGTGTACGATGTTTATGCCATGCTGCCTATTGAAATTGACACACCCATATGGAGGTGTTCTCAATTCGATGAAGAGGAGAATAAGGCAATACCTAGATGTGTAGGATACCTAATTGACGTGGCTCGAGACGTCGCCCATACACGGAGTTCGTCACCAAGAAAGAAGAGGTTGAAGATACAACTCAAAGGTGGTCCCAAGAGAGATGTAAGAAGGTGGCCTTGTGCTTAGATAAGTTGTCGTCCCCACCCAGCAAGGGAAGCTACAACCCAGTTGGAAGGGCCCATACCATATCTACAGAAACTACCCACAAGCTTGAAGAGCTGAATAGATGACTCATCCCAATGACATAGAACTCAATTGATTTGAGATATTATTATAGTTAGTTATTTCTTGTTATTGTTTTTGGGAAAAGGCGATTGACCAACCAATGTATAATCTCCTTTAAAACTAATTGTCATCATATTTACATCAGGTTATTCCATTTCTCAAGTAATATGGATTATCGACTTCTAATGGAAGATCATTGCCGCCCTCGAAGGGTAAATGTTGAACTTTCATTGAAAGATCCTTGACACCCTCAAAGGGTAATTTTAATGTTGAACTTTCATTAGAAGATTCTTTTCATCTCTCAACAGAAAATATGAATACCAAACTTCCATGAGAAGGTTTTGTTGGACATACGACTTCACACACAAGAGGAAGTGAATTATGAGGGTTTGAAAAACGGTAATTTAAAACATTATTGTTTTCATTTTCAAAGTTCAAAAATATTTTTGATAAAATTTTTTTTGAATAATAGCAGTGGAAAAATAAATATGCTAAAAATAAAGAGATAAAGGTAAAAAAAATGACACTATAAACTACAGAGGTTCAGTCTAAACGAAGTAACCTAATCCTTTACTCAAGAATTGATCTTAATAGTATCCAATAATGCTTATAAGCTTTTAGTAGGTTGAACTTACGATCCCCTTTATACAACGAAAGTAAAGTTTTAGATAAACTTCCAAGCAATTAAAGTACGAAAAACTGAGTCTTTCTTTCAAACACAATCTTGAAGCAGTTATTCCTCAAACTAAACTGAGATTTTATACGGGCTTACCTCAAAACAATTTAGAGCTTTCAATCGGCTATCCTTAGGGCTGGCAATGAACCAAACCAACTCGAAGATAGTTCGGAATTCGACTCGACAATTAAATCGTTGAACTAGGTTCATGAACCAAATGAGTTGAGTATGAGCGAAAAATTAAGTTCGTTAACTAAATGAGCTGAACTTGAACTATACATAGTTCGACTCGTTAGGTTCATGAGTCAACTCGATTACATATGAAAAGAATTATACTGTCTTTAAGATTAGGTTTAAATATTTACTTTAAATCTTAGACAAATTTAATTTTAAATTTAGTAGTTTTTGAATTAGACTCTCAAATGTATCTCTTTAAAGTTGTGTAGGTTTTGAATTAGTAGATTTCGAAGATAAAGTTAAATTTCAATATGATAACTTTTATTTTATTTTAATATTTTATTTAAAAAATATATATTTATTTAAAATGTCAAATATACTAAAAAATATATATGTTTAAAAAAATAGTTTTTAAGTTCGTGAACCACGTGAGATGAACCTAATGAGATGAACCTAACGAGTCGAACCGAACTGTTCGTGAACTTATAACGAGTCGAGTTTGAGCTTAAAAAAAAGTTCGTGTCGAACTCGAACTCGAACTCGAATTCGAACAATTCTTAACGAGTCGAGCCGAGCTGAGGTGAGTTCGACTCGACTCGACTCATTTCCAGCCCTTATCCTCCAAACCAAACTAGCGTTTTACATGGGCTGACCACGAACCGAATTATGATTTTGCACTAGGATAATCTCAAAGCAAACTGAGATTTTACACATGCTGACCACGAACCAAGTTGAGATTTTACACCTGGATGATCTCGAACTAAAGTAAACTTTTACACGGGCCGAGCTTACGAACCGAAATATGCTTTTACACGGGTTAAGCTTATGAACCGAACCGACAATAACTAAATCTCCAAATAAAGCTTTTAACAAGTTTAACTTTGAACCCAAACAAACACTCCCTTATGATTATTCAACCAAGAGAAAAACACTTTTTGGTAAATTTACAATATCACAATTTTCAGAACAAAAACCTCACTTAAACACAAAGACTTTTTCGAAGGACGATGACTAAATTATAATGAGAGAAAGTAGAAAATTATTAGAGAGAGAGAGAGATGTCACGCTTATGGATGTGAAAATGTAAAGAAAAAAATACCTCTATTTATAGGCTAGAGGTTGACACAAAAGTAAAGATCCATGAGACAAATTAATGATCCAACTGATTAGAACCTTAGGCCAATCAATTTAATGCTTTAAATAATTGTTTGCAGAGACTCATTTTAAAAAAAAAATAGATAAAGAGTTGTTTTCCTTCACTAAGACAGTGTCACAATTATTTATAAACATCATTTGCATTAACCCAATCGATATATATGTTCAAATCGATTGGGTACTTTAAAATTTTATTCAAATACACGACTTTAAAATACTTTAGGTTGCTTTCTTTGAGAAATGCTACTCCATAACTGTTTATAAGAAGAAAAAAAAAATAATATCACACATTTATTAAAAGAGTTTAAATTTTTGTATCTTTTTTCAAGTATGTTTTATTAAAAAGATGCAAAAACAGTTTTAATTGATTGTTGTTTATAAAGAAAATAAAAGAGAAACCAAATTAAATGTAATTTAATTTAATTTTACTTTCAAAAAATAAATTAAAAAAAAACTTAAATTAAATAAAATTGATGTTTTTTTTTTTTAAAATAATTTTTGCAAGAAAAATAAGTGTTGTTTTCTTCTTATAAACGGAAGGAGTAGAGCCATAAGAAAAAAATTGCAAACAAAATATTTATCGAGGAATAAAATTGTAACATTGATTTGCAAGTTTGAGTATTTCAAAGAATACAAATTGAGACCTGCAAGAAGAAGGTTTTTGGTTTTTGGAAGAACGCATTTTGAAAACAAAAATCAAATAATAATTTCGATCGCAGCAAGCAAGCATGTATCATCCAACTAGAGGCGGCGTCCGTGGCGGTCGAGATCGTAAGTTTCATCAAAATTATTTTCTCGTTCAGTTTCTCGTTAATTTCAATTTCTCGAACTACTCATTCGTTTCCGTTTTGCTAATTTTACGAATTTGTTCTTCAATTCGATGTTCTGGATACTTTCTGCTAATTTGTAACCTGTTTAATTCGACCATAGAACCCTAATTATTACAAAATTCATGTTTAGAATTTTGGTTTTAATTTCAAATTATTATATATGATGTTGTTAAACTTAGTATAAATCTTGAATCGTTCTTTGATTTGTATTTATGGATTTTACTTTTGATGAGCAGAGTTCACTTGGGATGATGTAAAAGCTGATAAACACAGGGAGAACTATCTAGGTCATAGTGTCAAGGCCCCTGTTGGTAGATGGCAGAAAGGTAAAATTTACTCTTTATTTTCATCTAAGTTGGTACGTGTTGGAATTTCTGCCTTCACGGTGGTCCGCCCCTGGTATTAGAGACTATCATATCCTAGGCCACTTGTTTGGCTTCCTGCATCGTCCACGCTTTGGCCTCATTGAGGTCTGAGCGTGAGGGTGTGTGTTGGAATTTCCACCTTTATTGCAGTTCGCCCCTGGTCGCCTTAATTGCGGCACTTTGGCTTGCCTATGTTTTCATCAATGTCCAACATAAATGTGTTTGACACGGGTGGATGTAATATGGCTAGCTGCTGTCTCGAATTGTCAGTGCTTTCTTGTCAAAGATAAAATGAAAGTATTAAACCAAAAATAATGAAAATTCACTGTATTAAGTTTAAGTTCATTTCATGATTCCTAAATTAAACAGGTGTCCCTTAGGGAAAATGTTAGCAATATCCTTTGCGGTTTTACACAAAGAATGACTATTTAGAAAAAGTGACACTCTTAATGGAATAATGGTGTGCTGGCAGCTCTAAACCCAAGTAACCTTCATTTGAAGAGCTTCAATAACTTGGTTAAACTAAATTGTCAGTAGCATTAGGAGAATGATTTTGAAGAGCTTTAATAACTTTGTTAAACTCTTAAATGGAATTATAGTATACTGTTAAACAAAATTGTCAGTAGCATTAGGAGAATATCAACTTGTTCCGTTATTCAAGTGCTATTATTCTATAACTTTGATGCTTTTGCAATGATCTGAAAATTTTCTTTTATGGACAAAACCTGTGCCCGAGTCTTGAACCAAATTCCAACCTTTTAATCTAAAGCTCATAGGGGTGCGCACTTCCATCACCTAAAATTCTCCTTATCCTAATCCTATCACCAGGTTGCCGTTTTACAGCTTTTATATTCTTCACTTTGTTACTGTAGTTTAGGTTATGCATAATATTTCTGATAACATGGGACAAAACTGCAAAAGCGTAGCATACGCTTGGATTAGGCATATTTCATATAAAAGATTATGGTTATGTTTAGAGATGAATGTCATCCGATGTAAGTCTAGGTCTTTTCTTGAACTAAAATATAAGTAGCTAGTAAGGCTGAATAGGGCTAAAGAGACATAAACAAGTTAATTTATCCATCGTCTGTCCTGTTCCTAGAATGCCTTAAAAGGCCTAGAGGGACACATAAATATAAACAATAGACTGTTGTTTGGCTATTCACATCTTAATAAGGTAGCATCTTTAAATTTTCTCTTTTAATTCAACAGGAAAAGACCTTTTTTGGTATACTAGGGATAAAAAGTCCGAGAGTGCAGAAATGGAGGCTGCAAAAGAAGAGATTAAAAGAATTAAGGAAGAGGAGGAGCAGTCAATGAGGGAAGCTCTTGGTTTAGCTCCTAAGCGTGCTAGTCGTCCTCAAGGTAACCGTCTTGATAAACATGAATTTTCAGAACTGGTAAAGAGAGGGTCTACAGCAGAAGACTTAGGTGAAGGTCATGCTGAAGCAGCAAGGGTCCAAGGTGTTGGTTTTGCAAGGTAAAGTGACTACAAAATATTTTTATTTACTGAAGTAATGGAGTGGATTTATTTTATTTAGTAGTTTTTAGAATTTCATGTTTCAATTGTTTCTTATTTTTAGCTTATCATTTAAAATATTTGGATTAGAGAACAACTTGGTGGGTTTGTTTGGGTGACATGTGGAAAATACGATTATTATTCTTATAGTGTTATTTGAGTCTGACATGTGGAAAATAAGATTGTTATTCTTATATCATTATTTTTGTTTTATTGTTTTCCAAAAAATTGCAGAATTATAATTTTTAAACATGTCTTTTAATTGATTTTTTTTAAAAAGAAGCACAAATTAGCCCTTTATTTAGTAAATGGCCAAAATGTGTGAGTTGCTTTGTAATTTAAGGAAACCACATTAGGACCTACGTAGAGGATGCTCTATGTTATATGAATGCTTACATTTCCTTCGGCAATGTTGGTGTAACACTGATGTGAAAGTTATTACCCAACATGGATTGGATTGGATTGATGTGGTGTTTGTGTTTATGAATAGAGAAAAGTGAAAAGTGTGAGAAGGAGAATCCTCTAGGGGTTAGACAGCAAGAGAGGTGTGAAATGTAGCATTCTCATGGGTTATAGATGACAAGAAGAAATACCAATATGATAAGGAGAAGAGGAGGCATGATTCAGATTAAATACTCTATTTGGTTTTCTCATCATCAAATTTGAAATGAAACAACATTTTTAGTCTATTTTCATAACTTACTATATCTTCTTGACATAATAATTGATAGCCCAACAACAGTCTGCATTTACTGTTATCAGAATATTGTACTATCAGTCAGGCATTCTTTAATTCGAGAGGAGTGTCAGAACGTATGAAAATGTCATATAGTGTCTTGATAATATCTTAGAGTCTCTTAGATTATCAGGATTAGTTTTACTATAATTATAAATATGGGTTAGTGTTGTTATGTCCTTTTTTATCAAATCATAATCATGAACCATGTTAAACTATATTTGTATTTCTAAGTCTATTTTTTTTCCCTTTATCTAAACACCTTTTGACTTCAACAGTATGCCTGAAGGTTATTATTCTTTATTGCTAAGTAATGTCTAGTGTATTATATTTAGGTTTTTTGATTTTTCTTGTGGTGTGATCCCAGTCTTTCAAAAGGTTCAAGTGTTATCAGATCACAGACAACTAAATATCCGTAATCAGTCCAGTTTGAGTCCGATGTGGCAAAGTTCAGATTTGTTACAGCATGAGATGATCCAAAAAGCAGTTTAGTAAGTAGGGATGACAATGTGTAGGTCTGGGTTGCTTACCATGGTATCCATCTCCATACCCATCGTTAATATTCATGCACGATCTTAAAATTGCACTTTTAAATGTATGCTGACTGTGTGTTTAAAATTTCATAACTTACTATGCCATCTCTTGTGTTTATTGTCCAGAAACCCTGCCAATATTTTGATACTTATTTTCTACAATGTGCAGAGAACCCCACCCCTGGGAAGAACCCGGTTCCTCAAAGGTCTCACATACAACAACTGAGGTAGAAAATGTATCTATGCCTAATCAACCACCAAGAAAAACTGAAGATGATTCTGAGGATGAAAGTAGGCGAAAAAGAAGACGGGAAGAGAGGAAGGAAGAGAAGCGCGAAAAGCGTGAGAAGAAACATTCCCATGAAGAAAGAAAGCAAGAGAAGCGGCATTCTCGTGATTCAGATGACAGGAAGAGACACAAGAAAGACAAGGAGAGGAGGAGACATGATTCGGATTGAATACTCACTAGTTTTCTCATCATCTAATGTGAAATGAATAACATTTTTACTCTAGTTTCATGACTTATTTTCTGTATAAACAACATTCCAGAAGCCTGCATTTATCAGTTATCACTTATCTGGGCATTGGTTATTATTCTGGCTATGTGGTGTTTCAAGTAAGAAATTGATATTTAAATGATGCCAAACTCCATCAATTTAAAGGCTTTGAAATTGTAGACACTTGCTGTATAAAAAAATTGAACTGTATGTCTTTCTTTACCTTCATGTTGTATTTATAGTTAAGACTTTGCATGATGCTAGAGACATTGCCAGCATGGAGTTTTCCAAGGTTCCATATCAAAAACAGCTTGCCGGATTTCATCATTGACAAGATGAGAGGCCTGTACTTAGAATAGGAAAACCGCACCGAGTTTGAAGCATGCCACTAGACACAATGTTGGTTGTAAAAAAATCATACAAATATACATTAACCAACAAAGGTACTTCATCCTTATTATCCCCCCACTGACCAACACTATCTCTAAGCCTCACAATTTTATTTTTCCTCCTATTGACCGCTTTTAGATGTTAATAGCGTCTGTTTCGTTCCTATCTTTCAACCGCATTGTTTTAGATCTTCGAAACCACATAAACTCTTAAATAAAAGAGAGCACTCTTTTCCTATGTATGCAACTTTGAACACCATTGTGTCTAGACATAATTTTTTCTCTTTAATTTAAGACTACTAAAAGTATGCAATTTCCACCTATTGATCTCTTCATCAACATTTTTAAATTTTTACAGACCATATGACTATTTTTTCAAGCACCCGAGTATACTATCATAAGATTCCTCTATAAGCTAAAATGTTTTCAAACCGAAAACTTGTTTAGGGCAAAACAATATTTTCACCATATTTAAAAAGAATAATGAGATGAGAAAAATCCAAACCCGATAGCACTTTAACATGCATTTGGAAAATCCAGCCTCCAAAGAGCATTATCAAAGTGGACTATTTAAATATTATTGATATTTGCTTGATACCCAAGGTTAGTAAATGTTGTAAATATTAAACTGTAAATAGTAATTAGTAGTATTAGTAATGAGGTCCATTAGTCAAAATCCATTAGGTTTTCTATTCTCTCTTATTTAAAGCATGTAGTTGTAACATTGTAAGCAGAACTTTTAATTTCATCAGTGAAATATTTTACAACATGATTTCAGAGCTCCTGTTTTTTGGGGGTCTCGCTTCCGCATAAACCCTAGCCGCCGTTGTAACAGAGTTTTTTTCTTTCTTTCACTGCCGGTCATCCTTGCAGTTTGCTTTTTTTGGGTGTTTGAATCATTGATGTTCTGTGTTGCAGCACATTCTATTTCTTGGCTTTGCTTCACATCTCTCACTGTTCACTCATCTTTGCAACCCTACACTGCTTGTTTTTTGTGATATTTTGTGTTTTTTCTTTGTGATTCAATACATATCTGTTGTTTGTTCCTCTCGATTGTCCCTTCAATGGCCGAGATTATTAACGAACAACCACCTCCGCCTCCACCTCCCACAAATCCACCAGTCCCATTTAATGCTAAGGATTTTGTCGTTCAAAAATGTTACTGGCTTACCGAAAAAAAGTATTTTCAATGGTCTCAGTTCATCAGACACACTCTAAAATGTTGTGACATGCTAGATCATATTGAAGGCAATCCTCCTCTGGTTACTGCTCCTAATTTCCCTTCATGGGATAAAGATGATTCTGCTATTATTACTTGGCTTTGGAACTCCATATCTCCAGAAATTAGTAGAAATTGCATGTATCTCTCAAGTGCAAAGGCAGTTTGGGATTATCTTCGTCGAAGTTATTCCATGAAACAAGATATGTCTTCTTGTTATGATTTAAAGAGGAAAATCTTCAACACTAAGCAGGGAAGTCTTTCGGTCAACGAGTACTTTGGAGTTCTTAATGGTTTTTGGATTGAGTTGGATCAATATCAGAATTTGAAGATGAAGTGCAGCAAGGATACTGCCACCTTGAATACTGTTGTTGAGCGGGATAGGATCTTTGATTTCTTAGCAGGCCTTAATGCTGAATTTGACCTTATTCGGGTGCAGATTTTGGGTAAGGAAAAATTTCCTGATTTTAATGAAGTTTTTTACACTGTTCGTAGTGAGGAGACCCGTCGTCAAGCTATGCTTCATGAACAGCCCCCGGATGTGTCAGCACTAGTAGCTAGCAAAACAACAAGACAAGGACCACCATCATCATCATCTAAGAATGGTCGTGACAAATTCTATTGTAAGCATTGCACCAGCATGGGAGGGAACATGTTCTTAGCCAAGGAGGTAGTTCTCGCAACATGCACCAGCATCAGGCACATGTTGCCACACATGCCCATGATACTGAAAAATTTGAAAAAGGGGGAACTGATCTTTCCTCCTTCAGTCAGAATGACGTGGAACGGTTGAAGTCTATGCTTGACTCCATGAGTAAGCCTTCTGGTTCTGGGTCTCTAGCAGTTACTGGTAAGAGTTTGTGTTCCCGATCTTTTACTATTTGTGGTAATATCCCTAAGAATGCGTGGATTCTTGACTCTGGTGCTACTAATCATATGACATTTGATTCCACATTATTATGCTCTTATACCACACCTTCGAGTATTCCTTATATCATTGTTGCTGATGGCTCTCATGCTTGTGTTGTTGGCACTGGAAATATTGACTTGCAACCTCCATTTCAGTTGCAATCTGTGCTTCATGTTCCCACACTTTCCCACAATTTGATTTCCATCCATAAGCTTACCCGTGATCTAAATTGTAAAGTAATGTTTTTTACGTCCCATTGTGTTTTTCAGGACCTTACCACGGGGAAGACGATTGGAATTGCTAAGGAAAAGGAAGGGTTATACTACTTCTCTGATGACCATCCAAAGGTGTTGTCCTCCTGTCTCCAGTCTCAGTCTTCCTCTTCAGCCTCACAAATTTGGCTTCAGCACAAGCGTCTCAGTCACCCTCCATTTTATATAATTAAGTCTATGTTTCCGTCATTGTTCTTAAACCATTCTGTTGAGTCTTTTAAGTGTGATGTTTGTCAGTTGGCAAAACACAATCGTGTAACTTTTCCTTGCAGTTTTAATAAAAGTGTTGAACCTTTTGATGTGATTCATTCTGATGTTTAGGGACCTGCCCCTACCTCTAATATTTTTGGTGCAAAATGGTTTGTTTCATTTATTGATGATTGTACTCGGGTAACATGGATTTTCTTGATGAATACTAAATCCGAAGTACCACAAATATTTATCCAATTTTATAATATGGTACAAACACAATTTGGGAAATGTATAAAAAGAATTCGTTCTGACAATGGTAAAGAATATGTCAATCATACCTTCTCCAACTTCACTAGTAAACATGGCATTCTTCATGAATTCACATGTGTTGACACCCCACAACAAAACGGTGTCGTAGAAAGAAAAAATCGTCATTTACTTGAAGTTGCTCAATCTCTCCTTTTTCAAATGTCTGTTCCCACCTCTTATTGGGGGGAGGCAGTTCTTATGGCTGCCTATCTGATTAATCGGGTCCCATCTCGAGTGTTAGGTAATATTAGTCCTGCTCAATTTATGCTCTCACGTTTTCCCTCTGTTCCTATCTTACATAATCTTGAGTCTCGCGTGTTTGGTTATGTTGCTTTTGTTCATGTTCACAAACAATATCGCAACAAGTTGGATCCCTGTGCTGTCAGATGTATCTTTCTGGGTTATGCACCCAATAAAAGAGGGTACAAATGTTATCATCCTCCGAGTCGGAAATTCTTTGTCTCCAAAGATGTCACCTTTCATGAAAATGTGTCATACTTCACTCATTCTCAGTCTCAGGGGGAGAACATGAATGACTTAGAGTCTGAGTCCGAGTTTCTGATCCTTGGTCCTAGCCTCCCGAGAACACCTGTCAGTGTTCCCTCTCTTGAACCCGAGTTGTCACCTAGTTTGAGTTTGAGTCCTAGTTAAACATCTGAATCTGAGTCAGTAATTGTTCCTGGTCCTTCAATGCCTTATGTTCCACAGGAATCAGCACCTTCAACACCAACTCTAGTGTATCAGAGAAGAAGTAAATCTGACATTCTCCAGAAACAAATTCAATTGTCTGAACCGGAGGTAAGTACTGAAAATGATTCCTCAAATGATGATTGTTCTATTTCTGATACTTGTGACACTAATCCAGTTGATTTACCCATTGCTTTGAGGAAGGATAAAAGATCTTGTCCCTCCGTATATCGACACTCTATCTCTCAATATGTCTCCACTAAACATCTTTCCACACAATATCAAAGTTTTATTGCAGCTGTTGATTCTGTGAAAATCCCATTATCAGTTGAAGAAGCATTGCAAAATAGAAATTGGGTCCAAGTTATGGATGAGGAAATGAGAGCACTTGAAAAAAATGGTACTTGGGAGATTATTGAAAGGCAAAGAGACAAAAAGTCGGTTGGATGCAGATGGATCTATACTGTAAAGTATAAATCTGATGGCACACTTGATCGATACAAGGCAAGACTAGTGGAAAAAGGTTATACTCAGACATATGGTATTGATTATGAGGAGACATTTGCCCCAGTGGCAAAAATGAACACTGTTCGAATTTTACTATCTCTTGCTGCTTCATGTGGATAGGAATTGCAACTGTTTGATGTTAAAAATGCATTCTTGCATGGAGACTTAGAGGAAGAAGTGTATATGGAGATTCCACCGGTGTTGGCATAACAAATGAAGCTAACAAGGTGTGTAAATTGAAGAAAGCCTTATATGGACTAAAGCAGTCCCCTCGGGCATGGTTTGGAAGATTCACAAAGGCAATGGTGTGTTTGGGCTATAAGCAAAGTCAAGGAGACCACACTTTATTTTTTAAACATTCACAAGAAGGAAAATTGACTGTACTTCTTGTTTATGTTGATGATATTATTGTTACAGGAGATGATTTGACTGAGAAACATTTGCTCAAAGAGAAATTATCGACAGAGTTTGAGATGAAAGACCTTGGACAACTCAAGTATTTCTTGGGAATTGAGGTAGCCTACTCAAAGCAAGACATCTTTATCTCTCAAAGGAAGTATGTACTTGATCTTTTGCAGGAAACTGGCAAATTTGGATGCAAACCTGCAAGTGTTCCCATTGAAAAAAATCACAGGATAAGCTTTGAGGAGGAAAGTGACAAAGTTGACAAGGGTCAATATCAGAGATTAGTGGGAAAATTGATTTACTTGGCACACACTAGACCAGATTTAGCATATGTAGTCAGTGTGGTGAGCCAATTCATGCATGATCCGAGGGTGAGACATTTGCAGGTTGTAGACCGCGTTCTACAATATCTTAAAGCAACTCCAGGGAGAGGACTTTTGTTTAAAAGAGGTGAGAATTTAGCTATGAAGACTTACACTGATGCGGATTATGCCGGCTCAGTGAGTGACAGAAGATCTACGTCAGACTATTGTACTTTTCTGTGTGGTAACCTTGTAGCTTGGAAGAGTAAGAAGCAAAGTGTAGTTGCTCGATCAAGCGCCGAGGCAGAATTTAGAGCTATGGCACTGGGAATTTGTGAACTATTGTGGATGAAACAAGTTCTAGAAGACTTGAAGATACACTGTGAAGGCCCTATGCATTTGTTTTGTGACAATAAATCGGCTATTAGTATTGCTCATAATCCTGTTCAGCATGACAGGACTAAACACATTGAGATTGACCGACATTTTATCAAAGAGAAGTTGGATAGTGGGCTGATAACTACATCTTACGTTCCTTCTGGGCATCAGCTCGCAGATGTGTTAACAAAAGTGTTGTGAATCGGATGCCTTTAAACAAAGTATAAACAATTTCTTAATGATCAAGAAACTCACAAGGGTTAGGGTTAACAAAGAAAACAAGGTAAAATAACAAGGAACAACAAGGATTGGTTATTAAACTGCTATTCTTTCCTTTCTCTTAGAACAAGATTACAAGTATACAAGAATAACAAAATAACCTCTCTCCCTTGAAATTAGGATTTTATCTTCCTAATTTTCCTTATTCTCAGATTGAGAAACTAGCATCCTATTTATAATAAAATAGCAAACTAACCTAATGGGCTTTTTAACAATTACCCATTACAAGCTAACTTAGGGTACAAGCTAACTTAAACAATTGAGCTTACAAGCAAGACCCAATTCAACATGCTAACAACCTTAGCAATATTTACTCATGCTAACAACCTTAGCAATATTTACTCATGCTAACAACCTTAGCAATATTTACTCATGCTAACAACCTTAACAATATTTACTCATGCTAACAACCTTAGCAATATTTACTCATGCATGTTAGAACAAACTTCGACTACAACACGCATTACTTGTGAACAGACTTCGACCACACTAGAGTTCGATCCAATGTCTCACAAATCTCCACCTTGGATCTAACTCTATAACATCAAGAAACTAGCTTTCTTCATGCAGCTTTATTAACTGCATTCAACATGCTAACAACCTTAGCAATATTGACTAATGCATGTTAGAACAAACTTCGACTACAACACGCATTACTTGCGAACAGACTTCGACCATACTAGAGTTCGATCCAATATCTCACAAATCTCCACCTTGGATCTAACTCTATCACATCAAAAAACTAGCTTTCTTCATGTAGCTTTATTAACTGCATACAGTGGAAAAACTTGCAGCTGGGCAATGTCTTTTCTTTTGTCGTTAACACAACGTCCATGGCTGCCTCACCCTTCAACGCTTCCAAACAACCCTGTTGAACCAATAGGGTTTTCATCTTCAAGCGCCACAGAGCGAAGTCGTTCACTCCGGTGAACTTTTCAATCTCATACTTTGTTGAAGACATCTTTTCCACGCTCACCGCACCAATTTGTTGTGAATCGGATGCCTTTAAACAAAGTATAAACAGTTTCTTAATGATCAAGAAACTCACAAAGGTTAGGGTTAACAAAGAAAACAAGGTAAAATAACAAGGAACAACAAGGATTGGTTATTAAACTGCTATTCTTTCCTTTCTCTTAGAACAAGATTACAAGTATACAAGAATAACAAAATAACCTCTCTCCCTTGAAATTAGGATTTTATCTTCCTAATTTTCCTTATTCTCAGATTGAGAAACTAGCATCCTATTTATAATAAAATAGCAAACTAACCTAATGGGCTTTTTAACAATTACCCATTACAAGCTAACTTAAACAATTGAGCTTACAAGCAAGACCCAATTCAACATGCTAACAACCCTAGCAATATTTACTCATGCTAACAACCTTAGCAATATTTACTCATGCTAACAACCTTAGCAATATTTACTCCTGCATGTTAGAACAAACTTCGACTACAACGCGCATTACTTGCGAACAGACTTCGACCACACTAGAGTTCGATCCAATGTCTCACAAATCTCCACCTTGGATCTAACTCTATAACATCAAGAAACTAGCTTTCTTCATGCAGCTTTATTAACTGCATTCAACATGCTAACAACCTTAGCAATATTGACTAATGCATGTTAGAACAAACTTCGACTATAACACGCATTACTTGCGAACAGACTTCGACCATACTAGAGTTCGATCCAATATCTCACAAAAAGGTTTACCAACAGAAAGATTCAGACAGCTTACTTGCAAGCTGGGAATGATAGATATCCATTCACCAGCTTGAGGGGGAGTGTTGTAAATATTAGACTGTAAATAGTAATTAGTAGTATTAGTAATGGGGCCCATTAGTCAAAACCCATTAGGTTTTCTATTCTCTCTTATTTAAAGCATGTAGTTGCAGCATTGTAAGTAGAACTTTTAATTCCATCAGTGAAATATTTTACAAGAATTTGTAAATCAATTTCTTCTTATATCTCTGAGTAATACTATTTATAAGGTATTAAGCAAGGTGATTGTGAATACATTGAAGGAGTGTATTGCATATTTTATTTACCATTAACACACGATAATATAGTGATTGCGCAAGAAATGATTCATAGTATGAATAAGATGACGGGAAAATGCGATATTTTTCTAGAAGTAGGTTGAAGAATATGACAGGTTTTTGCAAAACTCATACTTTGAGGAAACATCTTTGGGGTGCTTTGACTAGTCGAACTCCAAAAGGAAGTGATTGTCATCATAAGATACCTTGGAACAACTTTGCTTTGAATCATAACGCCATTATTCATTCTTGTCGTCGTCATCATCATCATTGTAACTGAAAGGATGAGGAACTGACTTGAATGCGCGGTAGTTTCCAACATTGTTCAACTGCTCATTCTCCAACCTGACCCCAATAACAATGTCTATTAATATATGCATGCAATTCATTACTTAAGACCTTAGAGTTTTACATGTCAAATTAGAACTTACCTAAAGAAGTTCCATATCCCACGGCGAACAATTTCAAGACACGAAATAAACGTAATGATCGCCACTTTATGAAGGGGACGCCAATCCAGTTCAAGCACCAATTGCATCCATGAAAGTCTTAGAACGACATTCACAACCTGTGATTTAGCAGATTCACTATTAATCTAAACATGCATGCACATAAGATGAAAAAATGCCAATTTTGTTACCATGGCTATGTAGTAGACACTTTTGTGAGAAACTACGAGTTCATCTCTCAAATAACGATTCTTCGAATGTCTTTGCAAGAGACTCCAATCCTTCACAATGTCCCAATATGTGTTCATTAATATTGCTACACCTGAACTTATAAGTGCCAACACTTTCCATGTCATTCCCTTCTTTGTTTCAAAGGTAGTCCTAATCACCATTGCAACGATTGTTGATAGGTACTTTGATCCATTGATCGCGTGGTCGACATCTCTCTCGTCGTACAATTGACGCATACACTACAAAAAAATGTTGCTTCGGTAAGTGCACAATGCTCCCACTGAGACGGAGTATAGAATGATCGATGTGCTAACGTACTAATGACTGCACAAACCTGTGCCAAGCGAAACCAATAAGGAATGACGCTGACCGTGAAGTATTGTATATTATAGATACCGTGACTTCTGCATTTGTTTTTCCTCCTTGAGTGTTCTCCGAGGCCATAATAGCATATGTAAAGAACAAAACTTCTGAAGGATTGAAACTAAACCAGAAAATACAAAATTGTGTAATGTTATTAGAATGTGAAATATTTCGCATTAACTTGATCATATAAAATTCACATGAGCATATAAAGACCTGACTGGTAAGTTGATCGGCCAAGAAAAAATCCGAAAGTGAAACCTGCATAGAAAAGTCATTCTCAATAGTTGCATCTAGATCAAGTCTATTTAGTTCGTGTTTGTTTTTGTTACCGGAAAAAACGGAGCACATATGCAGCGGAATAAAGATTGGATAAAGAAGAAACGACTTGATCGGTATATGATATTGAAAGGGCAAAAGGTGATCAAAATGACAAGCTGCAAATGAGAAGTTAGGGAAGTTTAGTCCATGACAAATAATGAACTAAGAAGATATATTTGAAACTATGAATCTTACAACAATTAAGCTCAGAGGAACAAGTTCTGTGGCTGTTTTATAGCTTCGATCCGTTTGATTCATCTCAAGCTGCAAATTTATCAAGAAACATAGTACTGCAATCACTGCATGGCCAGCTGTGAGAAGGAATACGTCTCTATGATCCAACTCAGTTCCATGTCTAATACCGAACAAGAACGGATAGTTGATCCGATATCGCCTCCAAAAGTATGTGTTTGCAGCATACATAAGCATATGTAGAGTGACATATCCAAATAGACTGCAAGAAATTTCTACAATCTTAAATAACCATTATCAAATAAGTGCTTACTTATAAGCTATTTTTACAAGCTCCTGGTCACTATACCTGTATAATGGGAAAATGTTTTCCATGTAAAATATTCCTGCTTTTTTCTTCATTAAATGTTGAGATATTATTCTTAATATTGTAGCAACTAGTAGAGCAACAAAGCAGCCAGAAAAGAAGCCTAAGAGAAATAAGACAAGAATATAATTAAGCATTAATCAACAGTGTTTGGAATAAACTTAATTTTTCACATGATCATATTTTTAAACACCATCGTGTAGATTACCGGTAAAATAAGTTATGCTGTGCCTTTCTCTTTTGATTTTTGGCCTTAGCAATTTCCTTCCTTTCTTGTGATTTGAATGTGTGAAGTTTCTGATGAAGGTAGATTCCACTTTCTCCAGAAGAAAATTCACCTAAAATTGTTAGGGAAGAACTTATGAAAATAAGTCGAAAATAATGAATGCTGCAATACATGTAATTCCAACATACCTCGTCAGAAGTACCAAGATAAGAGTTGTCCACTTCTCTCATGTATGCTGTTGAAGATCCTCTTGGTGCATTCTTTTTGAGCAAACATTAAAATAAAACGAAATCAAACGAATCTTGTAAGTTCCACGAGATTCTATTAAAAGTTGTTAGTCCAATGTTGAATTTAGGATGAATGCAACTAAAAAAACTGAACTTTCATAGATTCTAAGTACAAGTCTAACCTTTTCATACTTCTTCATGATCTTGGAAAATGCTGAGAGATTCATAAAACTGATCCATTTGGATAGTAAGAAATACGCCGCTTTTGCAAAATGGAAAACTCTGAGAGAAATTGAAAGGTTCAATGATTTTGTTTATTACCTGTAGTCCTTGAGATGGAGAAGTTTCTGATAGAACTCAACAAACACTAGTCTAAGTTGTTTTTCAACTTTTCTCAGCTCTTCTTCATTGAAACTTAACTCATTATCATTGGAATCTGTAAAAACATTTTTGATTGATGATATTTGAGATTGAAGAGCATTATCAATCTTTACATTCTCAAGGATTTCCATAGGGTCTCTTCTTTCACAGTTACTAGGTGCTTCGTCCTCATGAAGCGTACTTCTATGATCAACTTCAGTGCTCACCATAGAGTCTTCCTGCTGCAGTCCTGCAAATTCAACTTAACCTCAGACTATAGAATACTGACACGTGTTAGATATCAGACAATGTCTTCGTCTTTAAGTACATCCAAGACAGGTTACGGTGACCGTGCCTAAATATGTTCTCATAAAATATTGTTACAGTTAAATCATGATAAAATACAACCCATGGTTAAACTTCGACTAAACTACACAGAACCTACAAAAACTTAAAATGACTCTGGTACATTATACATGGTTCAGGGAGTTTCGGAAATCATAATGCAATTTGCATTTACCTGGATTGGGGCTTTTAACCTTTCCTCTCAAAGCAACTAAAGTCTCAAGTTGTTTACTCAAAAGTGTTGCTTCATGCTTAACTGCCTCCACCTCTTCTTTATAAAACACATTAACCTTGTTAAGCTCTTCATCAAGCTTCTCAAAAAACCTTGCATCAGTATCACTTTTTTCTTCATTCAAGTTAGTCTCATAGAACTCTTTGGAACCATCTACATCATTCTCTAATGTCTTAACATCTATAATCTTGTCTTCAATACCTTCACCTCTTTGATTATTACTACCATGATGATGATGATGGAAGTGGTTATTGTGTTCAACTTTGTTGCTGCTTTTGATATCTTTCAATATTGTCTTGAGGCCTTCATAGTCCATGTAGTGTTTCTCCCATTCAGGCACCATTTCTTGTTTGAAGTCTTTCTTAAACGTCATCTTTTCTTCTTTTGGAAATTTCTAAGACTAGTTCTTAATGTTTGGAGAAGCATTACATTAGCATCTCCATAAAGTGTTGGAATACTCAAAACATGAGAAGAAGCTTACACAGAGAGGATTCAGAAGCAGGACCGCAAACCGACTCTGACAATTTTATTTTATTACGTATGTTTTTGAAAGCTATAAAATAAATTTATTCTAATTCAACATATTTTAATAAGTGAATCGCAAATACAATCTGTAATATCTGTGTTTGTAAGCAAACTCTATTGGCTTGATGATGCGTGTGTCCTTCTCTTCTTCTGCCACAAAAAAATCAGGTGTGACGAATACTTGTCTAATGCAACGTGGACTCACCATGATATTTTTGTCACATAAGATCCACATTAAATGAGTCCACTTTAATTCTTTAAATGAACACCATTACATTTTTATTATAGTAAGGGTCTATTTGATGATAAAAAAAACTTCAGTTTTTCCCTTTTCAATTCATATTAATAAAAAAATTCGGTTGTTTGTGTATCTATCATTCAGTTTTTAATAGGGGTTTTGATGGTTACGAACTCCATTCAACTCACTTATATTTACAATTCGGTTAGTTTGCAATAATTATTTTAATAAAAATTCAATTGACAGTTAAAATGATTACAATTAAATTAAAAATTAATTTAGAACTAATTTATATTTATAAATTAGTTTATAATTTTAAATCACTCTGTTAAAATTAAATTTTTTAACTTTATAAAAATTAAATTTTTTTTATATTAAAAAAACTATTATTTATAATATCTATTTTTAATTTTTATATTTTGTATTTCCGGAAAAAAAAAGCTTTCTCGTCTTTTTGAAAAAACTTGATTTTTTTATATTTTGAAAAAAAACTCGTCTTTTACATTTCTAAAAAAAATTTATTTTTTGTATTATCGAAAAAATAATTTATTTTCGCGTTTCAAAAGAATCCGATTTTTTTTTTATGTTTGGAAAAAATTGTTTTTTTTTTTGTATTTTTAAAAAATTCGAGTTTCTAGATTTCTGAAAAAACTAGATTTTTTCATATTTATGAAAAAACTTGACTTTTTTATATTTTCGAAAAAACTCAATTTTTTTCGTATTTTAAAAAAATTCAAATTTTTTATATTTTTAAAAAAACTCAATTTGTTCATATTTTTGAAAAAAAATTGACTTTTTTATATTTCCGAAAAAATACGACTTTTTCATATTTTCAAAAAAACTTAACTTTTTCATATTTCCTGAAAAAGCTCAACTTTTTCATATTTTCAAAAAAACTCGACTTTTTCATATTACTGAAAAAATTAGGTTTTTACATATTTTTGAAAAAACTCGACTTTTTCATATTACTGAAAAAATTAGGTTTTTACATATTTTTGAAAAAACTCGACTTTTTCATATTTTCGATAAATCTCAACTTTTTTCGTATTTCTAAATAAACTCGATTTTTTCATATTTCTAAACAAACTCGACTTTTTCATATTTCTAGAAAAACTCGATTTTTTCATATTTTCGAAAAAACTCGACTTTTTCATATTTCGAAAAAACTTGACTTTTTCTTATTTCCGAAAAAACTCGACATTTTCAAATTTATGAAAAAACTTGACTTTTTCATATTTCCGAAAAAACTCGACTTTTTCATATTTCCAAAAAAACTCAACTTTTTCATATTTCCGAAAAAACTCGACCTTTTCATATTTCTGGAAAAACTTGACTTTTTCATATTTCAGAAAAAACTCGACTTTTTCATATTTTCGAAAAAAACTCAACTTTTTCATATTTCCGAAAAATTCGACTTTTTCATTTCCGAAAAATCTCGATAAAACTCGACTTTTTTATATTTCCGAAAAAACTTGACTTTTTTCATATTTCCAAAAATACTCGACTTTTTCATATTTCTAAAAATACTCGACTTTTTCATATTTCCGAAAAAATTCGACTTTTTCATATTTCCGAAAAAACTCAACTTTTTCATATTAAGAAAAAAAACTCGATTTTTTCGTATTTCCAAAATAACATGAAAATTTAATTCCATCTTTTTTTGGTAACAAAATTTTTATTTTCATATAATGAAATTCATATGGAAAACGGTATGAAAATATACTTTTATTTTTTTGGTAGTATTATTAATTTATACTACCTTATGTTCCTTCATGTAAGAACG